ATGTTACTGTACATACATAATATTTAATTAGATATTGGATGATACAAATGTATTGGTATCGGATGATTTCTTTTAAAAATAGATTTATTTTAACAAATATTGCTGTGCCCTTACAGGGTTCATAAATGTACTTAGCTTTAAGCCTATGTAAAACCTTATTTACTTTATTGCACGCAAATAAATGAATATGAATACATGTACTGCGTAGCTCGTACATTACCCAATTCTGGATTGACCAAATCAGTAATCCGAAACACTTTCTGTAATAGGCTAGATGCCTAATTTTTATTTTAATGTCCGTCTGGTAGATTATTTTAAATCATTAGACACGTATGTTTTATTTTTTTACAGAAACGAATACTTTCGATGATATATATTGATTTGAAATGTCGCGTGATGTCATTTTTTTGAACATTTTATACGTAGAAATGACGTTTTAGCCCCCACTCCAAACCTTTGATTCGTTTTATCTAAGCATTGTTTTATTATACGACAAAATAAAAAAATACGTGTCTAATATTTTTTCATTACCTAACTGACGGACTAATTAGATTTTTAATTTTCATACCATTCAATTCTAGTAGGTCGAACAAATCTCGAATGCGAATTTTCGTTTCAATTTCAAACGCAGGCGATTAATTTTATTAATTTTTTTATTTATTAATTATTTAATTCAACAACACATCCTAACAGGTTACACCCAATGCGATAATGTTGTCACTTAATATAAAAACTTATAATTAACATTAATAAAAAAAAAAACTTAATAAAAACTTAATACACAAAGTTATAACAACAACACAGCCATACATATTATTTGCACTTATCCATTAACTACATAGGTATGTACAACTAACAACACCAGTCGTTACCTTTGACTGTAAACAATTAATGTACAATGATGAAAAATTAAAAAGTTTGTTTAAAATTAGAATTTTTTTAAATCATTTGTATTTATCCTCAATTACCCAAGGAGGTCCAATTATTATTTATTATTGTAACTCTGGCGTTCTGGGAGTCCTCGAGCGAGGCCAATTGCTTACCATCAGGTGAACCATCTGCTCGTTTACCGGCTTACTCATAAACGGCGGTAACATTACAACATAACATAAAATCACGCCTTTTTATCCCCGAAGGGGTAGGCAGAGGTACACATTTCGGCACTTAATGCCACTGTACAATG